TCCTCAACATAAAAGGGACATGGAACTGTTGGAACAAGTCCAAAGGAGGGCCGGGAGAATGCTGGGGATAGACCCTTCATCAGGGACTGTAGTGATAGGACAAGGGGTAATGGGTTAAAACTTAAACAGGGGAAGTTTAGATTGGATGTAAGGAAGAAATTCTTTACTGCGAGGGTGGTGAGGCACTGGAATAGATTGCCCAGGGAAGCTGTGAATGCTCCATCCCTGGCAGTGTTCAGGTCTGGGTTGGACAGAGCATTGTGTGGCATGGTTTAGTGGGAGGTGTCCCTGCCCATGGCAGGCGGATTGGACTAGATAATCTTAAGGTCCTTTCCAACCCTAACTATTCTATGATTCTATGAAAACTCTTATGCTGTTGTCTATGGCTTTTCATCAATGACTTGCCCAGGTTATCATGCAATGAATGTGAGATGTACATTAAAAGCTGACTTTAAAATTGCATTCTATGAGTGACTAGCAGCCAAGGACTATATACAAACTTTAACCAATGGGTTTAACTAATCTTTTATCATAAAATTTTTATTTCCTGAGGTTGATAGGTGGTTACAGTCATACTGTTTTCATGTCTTCCCTTTTTGAAAGGCAGGCTTCTTATGGGTGATTGACATGGAGTATCTTAGCTCTCGCCCATTCTTATGAGTCTATATTTTTCCTTTTTTGTCAGAAGATCACATACAGTTAAAGGGACTTTACAAGAAACACTTAGCTAGCCCTGTCCTGCATCTGTACACCCACCATCATTGCTTTATATTTCTTTCTGTCTTTAGTTCAGAACCATGATTTCTCAGTAGAAACCATAATTTTATGAATATATAAAATATATAAATTCACTGATTGCTATGAATTTTTAAATTATTATTTGCTTATCCATGCTAAAGAAAGAGGAAGAGCTGTAAATGTCAGATAAAACAAGAATCTCCCCCCATGCCTCTTTATTGTGTAAAATCTCTCTTAGCAGACTACACTCTTAAAAAACACTACTTTGAATTTCAGTCAGGAAACCTGAGCAGTGTGTAAAGGCTGCTAGATCTTTTCTACAGCAGAAAACCAGCTCCACAGCAGGGATCAAAAGTGTAGAGAATGGAGTCTCAACATCTCTCTATTTCCTGATTTAGATGCTTAAGTATTTGTACTTGAATCAGTGTCCTCTTTTTCCATAAATTTATTTATTTTCCATTGTCCTCCAAATATACATCAGGTGTCCATTGCTTGATTCCTCTGAAGCTTGACTTTAATGTTTGGGTTGGAAGTATTTCCTTTCCCTTATGGTTTTCTTTAATTTTTGCATATGAGTTTGTCCAGTGAGCTCACTTTCTCTGTTCAATTGTCACATTCGGATTCTCTGTGGATGCAATTCAAGTATTTTTATGATTTTCATAGCATCCCAAAAAATGAAATGATAAAGTGACTTAAATAGCCTCATGTAGCAGATTATTTTTAGCTTTGATATCAGCATTTTTCATTTATTGCAGGGATATAATTAATTTCATTATTATTTTTAATGTATTCAGATGTTTTGAATATCTACTGTGCCCACACTGAAAATGCAAGCCTGAAGTTAAACTTCTCCTTGGATGACTGTAACACATTAATTCTTGTAGAATTTTCATAGCGATCAATTTTGTTGTTGGTTTCCTTCAGAGTACGTACATTAATGCCTACCATTTTATAATCTTTGTTTTCTTAAACCACATCACAGCTAGATTAAGAAAAATAGTTAAATTATGAATATAAATTTTGTGATGAAAAATCTAATTAGGAGGCGTTTGCTTACAGCAACTGCTGAAGCTCTGAGTATAAACTGAGCTTATTAACATTAATGTGGTGGGTTCACTCTGGCTGAATGCCAGGTCCCACCAAAGCTGCTCTATCACTCCCCCTCCTCAGCTGGACAGGGAAAAAGACATAACTAGAGGCTTATGTGTTGAGACAAAGACAGGCAGAGGTGGAGAGATCACTCACCAATTCCAGTCATGGGCAAAATAGGCTTGACTTGGGGAAAATTAATTTAGTTTATTAGTAATGAAATCAGGGGTAAGGTAAGAAGAAATAAAAGCTAAATCTTAAAATACCCTCCCTCCACCCCTCCCTTCTTCCTGGATTCAAATTTACTCCCTATTTTCTCTACCTTCTCTACTTTAGCAGTGCAGGGGAGTTCAGTATGGTGGTTGTGGTAACTTCGTCACATGCTGTCTCTGCTGCTTCTTCCTCCTCAGGGAAGGGCTCCTCACACTTTTCCACTGCTCCAGCATAGGGTCCCTCCACAAGAGAGAGTCATCCATGAATTTCTTCAAACCAAGTCCTTCCCATGGGCTGCAGTTCTTCACGAACTGCTCTAGCATGGGTCCCTTCCACGGATGCAGTCCTTTAGGAGCAGACAGCTCCAGTGTGGGTCCCTTCCATGGGGTCACAATTCCTCTGGCAAACCTGCTCCAGTGTAGGCTCCTCTCTCCACAGGGCCACAGCTCCTGCCAGACGTCTGCTCCAGCGCAGGCTTCCCACAGGGTCACAGCCTCCTTTGGGTATAATTCTGCTGCAGTGTGAGGTTCTCCATGGGGTGAAGGTAGAGATCTGCTCCTCCATGGACCTCCATGTGCTGCAAGTGGAGATCTGCTCCTCCATGAACGTCCATGGGCTGCAGGGACACAACAGCCTCACCATGGGCTACACCATGGGTTGCAGGGAATCACTGCTCTGGAACTGGAGCACCTCCTCCCCTCCTTCAGCACTGGCCTTGGTGGCTGCAGAGCTGTTTCTCACTGTCCTGGGTTCAGCAGTAGCAGTCATTTTTCTCCTTCTTAGTAGCTATTGCACTGCTGTGGTTTTGACTTTCGGCCTGGGAACAGCGCTGATAGCACCGATCTTTTTAGTTGCTGCTCAGGAATATTTGCTCTGACCAAGGGCTTTGTGAGTCTCATGCTCTGCCAGGGAGCAGGGGAAGCCGGGAGGAAGCAGAGACAGGACACCTGACTCAAACTAGGCAAGGAGGTATTCCTTACCACAGCACGTCACGGCCAGTATATAAACTGGGGGCAGTTACCCGGAAGGGTTAGATCACTGCTCAGGTGGGGCTGGATATCGGTTGGCTGGTGATGAGTGGTTGTATTCTCTTCCCTTTTTATTTCCCTTATTGTTATTATTACTGGTGGTAGCAGTAGTGATTTGTGTTACACTTCAGTTACTGAACTGTTCTTATCTCAACCCATGTGAGTTACATTCTTTTGATTCTCCTCCCCATCCCTCCAGAAGCAGGAGGGAGGAAAAGGGGGGAGCGAGTGAGTGGCTGCATGGTTCTGAGTTACTGGCTGGGCTTAAACGATGATACTCTCACATATTTTCACTCTTCTCTCTGGCTGCAGTTGCTCCTGCACAGGAACTTTTTCCACTTCCTATGTTGCCCCAGAGGTGCTACCCCTGTCACTGTTTTGGCCTCTGGCCAGTGGTGGGTCCGTCTTGGAGCTGGCTGACATTGCCTCTATTGGACATAGCAGAAGCTTCTGGCAGCTTCTTACAGAAGCCATCATTGTAGCTTCACCCCACCCCCCAAAAAAAACCTCCAACTTTGCCATGCAAACCCCATATAATTACTCATCACAAAAGCTGTTTCATTAGTGATTCTCCCTGGGTGCGTTGAATCATAGAATCATACAGTGGTTAGGGTTGGAAAGGAGCTTAAGATCATCCCATGGGCAGGGACACCTAAATACATTGCTGTGCAAGCTTTTCTTGCAGGTTTGTATCAACCGTCATGAGAGGGGTCAAACTGAAGCCATGTCTATGCTGTAACTGGACATTTGATCGGAAATTATGGGCACTGTATAGCTTGCTTTATTTGGTATACCATGTGTGCTATAATACACATGTGAAATCTAGTTTGGCGGAGGCAACTGCACAGTGTAACTTTCTTAAATATTGTACTGTGACTGTGAAACTACTGATGCATGACCTATGTGGAATAATACATAGCTATATTTGCTGTATTCCTGATTCTTCATTTAGATGTAAGAAATCTTTTGACTTGCTCAGAACAGGTTTCTTCAAAGGAAAGTAATCAAGTCAATAGGTGCAGACTGTAATATCTGTGCTAGGGAATTTATCAGGTAATGGTAAAAGACTGCGTAAGACATGGAGGAAAAAAGCCAATTTTTTCTTATTATTACAACAGGCTTCTCAGAATATCAGTGTTCTCAGAAATGTAATTCTTTGACAATTTTCTCTCACAATGGTGAGCTCTTTGTTAAAAGTTTTGAAAACTTCCTGAAGACTTCTTCTCTCCTTTAAATCAATATATTTGGAGATTTCTTTCTTGGATTGTCTTCCATTATTCCATGACACAGGAAATATTACCAGTGGTGTAGATGATTAAACAAACAATAACGTTTATTAATGCTTAGATTTCACTCTGATCTTAGGAGGTTCTGATATTCACTGTTTCTAAGCTCTACGGTGATTGCTTTAGGTATTTGTCACTTACTATTTAACATGAAATTGCCTTGAGCAAGAAAGAAAGATGGGAATTGGCAAAGCTGAGAGAATTTAGCATGAATTTTCTACTGTTTTCACATTGAGACCTGTATAGTTGAAAATCTCTGACTACTACTTTTATTTTATTATTGGTATTTGGACTTCCATTTTTTCCAAAAGGTAGATGATAACTTGTAGCAAAGCAAGCATATCATGAGAAAGAAACTTGCTTAATGCAGGCAACAGTTGTCCCCTCTACAGGTATGAGTACACATTTTAGGTAGTAGCGTGTTAATCTCATAATAAAATAACTTTGTCTTTCCTTTTAAAACACCAAATTGTCTAAACCCTAGAAACCTTTTACTGCATTTTTTCATTCTTTCATTTTCTCAATAATGACAGTATAAATGATATTTGTAAGAAAGTAACTTACGAAAAGGAATTAAAAGATTTATCAAATTAACATTATAGATATTGTCTTACATGATGGATATTTTCTTTTGCATTGATCATAGGTTTCAGAAGAAGCTCTGCATCACAGCACTGAGGATGAAGAGTCTACCCAGGGAATGGAGCCCTATCTTGTGCGCAGATTATCATGCCGTAACATCCAGCTTCCACCCCTGGCTTTCAGACAGTTAGAACAGGCAGACTGGGATAAAAAGAATGATACTGATACTATCCCAAGGCCCACGACCCTTCCACTGAGGATTCTTCCTCTCATTGCTATTACATCTCCTGAGTCCAGCAGGTAAGTTCTAACAATTTCTTGATTTGATATTTCCAGTGGCAGGTGGAGGACAGCAGATGCTGCTTCTAGAACAGGAATCTATTTCTTTCCTAAATCCCCTAAATAAGTGAAAAAGAAGAATAAAATATTAATATGTAGATTTGTGCCTGCCACTTGATAATACTGCTTGTAAATCTTTTGGTCATGTCCAAATACAAACACTAGAAAGTATTTTCTCTGGACATTACTAATACTATATATTCAGAAAGTAGACTTCTGGAGTCTTGAATAACCATTTTTTAAAAACATAATAAATATAAGAGCCATTTTCTACATAGACAAATTTTTGTGATACAGTTTCAAAAAAAGTTTCAAGGATTCACGAGAGGCTTTTGAATACTCCTGTATAACTACACTATTTTAAATGTAAATAGTTGAACATATTTGGTTATAGTGATTTGTATTATAGTTTCTTCATATTACATCTGTGACTTCGTGCATTATGTACATTTTTTAGGGTAAACTTTCCTGTTCTTAAATGTTTCTAACACCATCCTATCTGCTGTGTTTATTTTCCAAAATGTGAATTGTTTAGTGTGAAATTGTTCATTACAATGGTAGCAGTGGCAGTGCAGCTGTTTGGTAACCTGAGAATATATAAGGAAAAGGAAAGGCAAACACACTGAGAGCTGAAATGCAGTACTTGACTTAGGAACTTTTGAATAGATCTTCAGACACAATATTGTATTCTGAATAATGCAACTATGAAGAGAATGCAGGACTTGCAGTGTATGAAAAAAATATAAGTATTCATCAGGTTACTACATCCAAAATCATCTAATACTAATTTAAATTTAGTATCACCCCTGAATCTTATTTCCATATAGATTTTTTTTTATTAATAGAGATCAGTTCTTGAAACATGTTTATAGAAACAGTGACTACATCCATATAAGCATATAAACATTTAGATTGTTTACAAATGTAAATATTGTTTTGGGAGATAAATGTAATGGCAATTAGTAAAGTTTTGAAGATAAATTGTCATGATTTTTTTGTTTTCTATCCATGGAGGCTGGAGAGAAGACTGGTCTGAGATACGGAAGGGAAAGAAGTATAGGTGGAGTGATTGTATTTCAGATTCCTGGCTTTTCCAGATTTTAGAGTATTTGGCTTTGAAACTTCAATGGGATTTTGGATGTCCTGTGTAAACTGTGTAATGCACTGAGCGTACTCTGGTTTTTAGCTTTCGTAACACTAAGTGAAGAAAATATGTATGCTTCTGGTGTGATAGAAGATCAGAAAGCAGAATGAAAAATATTACTTCTGTCCTATGTAAATGTCTAAGTGATTATAGATTTCTGGAAACTGCATTTTTTCTAGGCTGGATTGAAATATGCAAGAGCAAGCAAAACAGTTTGAAGGGTATTTGGATAACTAACAAACATAATATGTACTGGTTATTATGGGTAGCTATCTGCTGTACTTGTGAGAGGCTTCTCTGGGCTAAGAATTTCTCATAGGCATTAAGAGATAAGTTTGTATCCTGCTTATGATATTCATCCTATGGTTGTTATAATGTGTTTCAGAACTGGACAAAAAATGGTTTGTCTCCAAGTAAGTATATTTCTGAAAGAGGCTGGGAAACAGTAGATCTACAGATCGTTGAATGGAACTGCCAGGCTGTTAAAGCAAACAAACGAACCAAAACTGAACAGAACAGCAGAAGCAATTATAATTTTGGTGCTTCTTTGTAATATAAAATCTTCAGCTTTTATGATTCCTTCTTAGCTAAAGAGCAATTACGCTGCTACAGGAAGAATACTGTTCAGGAAATTAAATTTCTCTAGCTGTTTTGTGCCGTTTTTCAGTTATTAGTTCTCTCATGCAGCTATGTATTTCCTGTTTACATGCTTGTAATGCCAGCAGAAAAGCTGGAGGAAGCTATCGTTTTATTTGGCATCTTGTCTCCGTAAAAGTACACAAACTTAAGGGACCTATTATGTCTGTGGAAATGCTTACCTCCTTTGCCTTTGAATGTATGGCAATGTGCTGCTGAGAGAAGGAAACCTCTGTCTTCAGTAAGTAGGTGAAGACTGAGGAACATTTGGGCTATAGAAACTCAGTCTGATGTGGAAAAATTTCACCTCTGAAAACACTATAAATTATAAATGCATTTTTTTAAGGAATATGCTAAAAACCCACAGATATAACATTATAAAGCATCTTGCACTGCGATTCAAAGCTAAAACCAGTGACAATGCATGTAGTTTTTAAAATAAAATATCCATTTCATTCCTGACATGCACTTACGTACACACACTTCCCTTTTTACTTTTTCTTGCTTTTTATCGTTAGAATGTCTCAGAATCATTTCTGGTTTTATGTTAGCTTTGTATGACCAAGCTACGTAATTCAAAAAAAGCTCTTAAAAATTCCCAAACAACACAGCAGAGTATATGAAAAATTAGAAATAAACTATTCAATAATGTTTTTCTAAATCTTTCATCCTCTTTTAAACTTTTAGCCTTCTTACTCTAAGGAGACATCAAAGTGTCTTGTCATTCTTTTCTGATTTCTTTCCACGCATGAAGGGAGACAGATTCCAAGTTTTTCTAACCCAGGCTAAACCGAGACAATTATAAAGATCATCATTAAGATGAAGATTTATATCTTACATTTGCTAACAGGAGTTATAAAAACTAGTGCTTACAATTTGATAGACTCAGCCTGCAGCTGGTAGCAACAGTGATATTTATGAAATGTAACAATTGCCAGACCTTCTATGGGGAGGATTTGAAACACACAGGCAATTGCTTTTGATATTTTAGTTCTTTTTAGTTCTTTTTGTTTTTTATTTTATTTTATTTTAATAAGCATTATATTTACCTTGTGTATATAGAATATTAAACGTTGTATTTTACTGAAAGCTAAGTTGGCTAGGGTATTTTCAGTGTGCATGTGACCATGTGTTTTAAATTTTGCCAGTTTTCCTCAAGTAACTGTAACTAAATTGATCAAAGGTGCTCATGTAGGTAACAAACAGTTATCACAGTATCACAGTATCACAGTATGTTAGAGATTGGAAGGGACCTCAAAAGATCATCTAGTCGAATCCCCCTGCCAGAGCAGGAACACCTAGATAAGGTTACACAGGAACGTGTCCAGGCAGGTTTTGAATGTCTCCAGAGAAGGAGACTCCACAACCTCCCTGGGCAGCCTGTTCCAGTGTTCTGTCACCCTCACTGAGAAGAAGTTTCTTCTCAGGTTTAAGTGGAACCTCTTCTGTTCCAGTTTGTACCCATTTCCCCTTGTCCTATCATTGTTTGACACTGAGAAGAGCCTGGCTCCATCCTCGTGACACTCCCCCTTGATATATTTATATACACTAATAAGGTCACTCCTTAATCTCCTCCAAACTATAGAGACCCAGCTCCCTCAGTCTTTCCTCATAAGGGAGATACTCCACTCCCTTAATCATCTTAGTTGCCCTGCACTGGACTCTCTCCAGCAGGTCCCTGTCCTTCTTAAACTGAGGGGCCCAGAACTGGACACAATATTCCAGATGAGGTCTCACCAGGGCAGAGTAGAGGGGAAGGAGGACCTCTCTCGACCTACTAACCACCCCCCTTCTAATATACCCCAGGATGCCATTGGCCTTCTTGGCCACAAGGGCACAGTGTCGGCTCATGGTCACCCTGTCGTCCACTAGGACCCCCGGGTCCCTCTCCTCTACACTGCTCTCTAACAGGTCGTTCCCTAACCTATACTGGAACCTGGGGTTTTTCCTGCCCAGATGCAGGACTCTACACTTTCCCTTATATTTCATCAAGTTACTCCCCGCCCATCTCTCCAGCCTGTCCAGGTCTCACTGGATGGCAGCACAGCCTTCTGGCGTGTCGGCCACTCCTCCCAGCTTAGTGTCATCAGCAAACTTGCTGATAGTACACTCAATTCCCTCATCTAAATCATTGATGAATATATTAAATAATACTGGTCCCAGTACCGACCCTTGAGGCACTCCACTAGATACAGGCCTCCAACTAGACTCCGCCCCATAGACTACAACTCTCTGGCTTCTCTCCTTCAGCCAGTTCACAGTCCACCTCACTACCCGATCATCCAGACCACACTTCCTCAATTTAGCTGCGAGGATGCTGTGGGAGACTGTGTCAAACGCTTTGCTGAAGTCAAGGTAGACCACATCCACCGCTCTGCCATCATCCATCCACCGTGTTATTTCCTCATAAAAGGCTACGAGATTGGTCAAGCATGACTTCCCCTTGGTAAAGCCATGTTGACTGCCCCTCATAACCCTCTTATCCTTGATATGCCTTAAGATGGCACCAAGGATAAGGTGTTCCATCACTTTCCCAAGAACGGAGGTGAGGCTGACTGGTCTATAGTTACCTGGGTCCTCCTTCTTGCCCTTTTTGAAGATGGGAGTGACATTTGCTTTCCTCCAGTCCTCAGGCACCTCTCCTGTTTCCCAAGACTTGGTAAAGATGATGGAGAGTGGTCTAGCAATGACCTCCGCCATTTATGATATGTGCAGACAGGAAGGTACTGAGAGAAGAATACTTTTGCTTTTGACAAAACACCTGGTATTAAAAGGGCGGGTGACTGTTCTACATGGGAACTTATTTGTTTGAGGAGATTTAAGATAGTTGATCTGAACTCCTTTATAGTAAGTGTTTCAAAGAAGATTTACTTTCCTCTATGTTTGTTTTGCCCAATAGCCACAGATCCCACCCTGATTCAATACTCAAGCAAATATTTATATTGTGATAACAAATGAGATACTATAAATTTAATTTCTTCTTTCAAACACTTGGATGTGATTTAGGTCAACTGGTCATATCCATATATAATGATTATATTGATTTGTCCAAAGCTCCATGAAATATGATAAAAGTCTCTTCAGTCACCATTGTGATGGAAACTACCTCTTTGCATTGTTTAACTCAGAAGAAGAGATGGAATAGTAGACAGGTTTCATATTTTTGAGCTGGCTGGACCAG